CCCCCCCCACCCCAGACTTACCAGCCCAGTGCTGTTCTCCAAGCTGTCAGGTGCATATTGGCAATCAGATCAGTACTGGCCAATAAAATCTTTAACTGGTGCACCCCTAGTGCCACCAGATCCTTTGAAGGGTGCCATAGGAAGTGGGAGGAGAGAAATAGTTAAGGGTAAACCCAGGCGCTCATTGCTTGGTTGCTCACCTGCCTCCATTGCCTGGTCCATCTGAAAGGATGTAAGCACTCTAATAAATAAATTAGTTTCTGAAATGGGGTGCCACTCAAATCACAAGTAATGGGGGGGTGCTTCAAGTCTGAAAAGGTTGCCAACCACTACTATAGACACACTGTGTCTGTGCTGCTGTCAAAGGTGCAGACATACTCAAGTCAATTTCAAATGAGTGCAGTTCTCAGTACAGGCTGCAAGGGCTACCAAGTAACCTAGGTAGTGAACTCTGTTGCTGTGGCTACACTATTGTTGGTACTTGAGCTAACTAGTTTCAAACTGGTAAGGGTACGTCTTCACAAGTTGTAGGCTTACCTTTGACTATGGTATAAACAACGCTAGAAAGCAAAAAATAAGTGCAGCAGATACTTAAACTGGTTTACAGTTGGGTAATACCCTGTACAAACAGCTTTTGATGCACTTCTGTTGCAGATTCTGTGGACTAGTATTGTGGTGCTGTATCAGATAAACTGAACTGAGCATCTTGACTTTGCCTTTTGTAACTATTATGTAAATTGCTTGTGTAGTCAAGAACACCCAAAAACACACTTTATATAACAGATTTTAAATAACAAACTTTTATTTCATGGTAAAAGTATAGCAGCAAATTCACAGTTGTCTGCCTTTTAGGACGATTTGGCATTGTTCCTCATTCTAAGAAGTTATTTAAATGAAGGACTGTAAAGTAGATGTTTAATATTATTGGTATGTTACAAATGAATTGGGATTCTTGCTTCAAATATTTCACGTCTCTTTTTTAGATTTCAGTAGGTTGAGAACAGTGGGAATAAACTGGTCAGTATTCTGACTTGCTGATATATGTTCTCTTTCAATCTACTACTGTGACCCTTACAGTGGGTTTTACTTAGAGGATTTAGGTGGTGACTTCCTTTTTAATTTACATTTTTATGGAAGTAGCTAGGCTAGAACTGGATTATTGCAGTAGTGCTTTTTAAAAAATAGCATCTCCTAGTCTGAATATAACCTCAGTTAGATGAGCATGTTTTATCAAATGAAAAATGGAATATAATAACCAAATGCTAAGGTTTTCAGATAATAAATGAAATATTTTAATTTATTCTTAATTTGGTCTGTAGCAGTAAGTGAAGATCTATAAACTCCATTCCATTGTGCTTGTAGTTCAGTTAGTTAAGTTACAATCAATTAGTCAAGTTCAGAAACAATGGTGTATTTAATTAGAATAAATTTAAAGTTTATAAAAAACCTTGTCAATGCTTTTGATCAATGAGAGCTTTAAAAAGTATATATGCATCTTGAAGGGGAAAAAAAAGTCACATATGGTTGAATTTTCTTTGTTACTTCTTCAAAGAACAGCAGTAAAAGAAAAAACCTTCAGAGGGGTTATTTCTTCTTATCTCTTTGTTTACTTATATAGAGCCTGAAATGACTACGCATCAAAATGTTTTATTTTTGTGCTTTTTAATTGATTCTTGCATTTCATCTATTACAGACAGCTAAATTGGACTAATCTGTTATATTTTCTGGCTCAGCCTTATTATCAGCATATTTCTACGTGGATTTTGTTCAAAAACATTTGTAATGTCTTCATTTCACTCTGAGCATATCTACATTGGAAAAAGGGGTGTATGTGTGTTCAGCTTTGACAAATTAATGTGTTAAAATGGAATTTGTATCACTCTGCCACACTTCCTTGAAGTCATGTCTAGACTGGAAAAATGTAGACCTATTAGCTTACTTGGCAGGGTGGTATCTGAGGGTATCTATACACATGCTTGGGCCAGGGGGTGGAAGAGGCACTTTAATTAGAGTGGCTCTGAGAGCTCCTCTAATTAAAACACCTGTAGCATCACATGTATTCAGTGTCCTGTGCTTCAAAATGGCAGCAGGGTCACTTTTTCTAAAGCTTGTTAAATGAGACGTGGGAGGCTGCAGGAGCACGGTAACTGCCACACTCCAGCAAACTTGATTAATCTAGTCTGTTCCAACATGCTGGAATTAGTGTGTCCGAGCAGCCTCCCTGCTCTTGTATATGTGCCCCATGCCCTTTAGTTAATGCGCATTTTCCTAGTACCCCACAATGGAGGTACTAGATTTAATGTACATTAACTAAAGCATGTTAATGCACATGTAGACGTGCCCTCTATTAGCTAACATGATTTAGTTAACTTTTTAAATTCTGTTTATCACTGATCAGAAATATTGGTAGTTAATATTGTTAGCTTATGTCAATATGCTTAAAGATGTTTCTATGCTACATGGAAAAGCAAAATAATGTTTAAAAATGTTGGGTTGTTTGTAAATGCATTAACTATTTAATCATCTAAACTGGGTCCCTGAAAGTAGGAGATAACTGAAATGTCTTAATGTGCTTTGACAGCTAACACTATTTTACACACCTCATGTTTGAAAATCTGTTATTTTAATACCTCTTAGTCCATTCTCCCAGTGCTGGAGGGTCCTGTGGGAGAGAAAGCTAAAGTGTTAAATGTGCTGTAAAACAACCTTCACAGTAACATGCATCTGAAAATTTATTTTAATGGCTATAAGAAGTCTTTTCAGTAACTAGTTGGTTAGGCATAGGGATCTGTAACTCAGGAAACACAATAATTGAGCCTGCTTCTTTTTTGGTGTCCCTATAAAAAATAACAGTGATGAAGAGATAACTGAATAAGGTGATCAAGTGCTACCGTCTAGAGAACCAGAATTCCAAAGTGTTTGTTTAAAGCCAAATCTATTTATGTGAGTTGCATCTAAAACAGTAAGTCTTCCTACTTCTGTTTTTTATATGTAATTTCTAACAATTTATGAAAAGCTATTTCATGACATTTGACAAGGTCAGAAAAGTACTTCTAATGAAATACAGAAAGACCGAAACTTATGGAAAAGAACTGACAAATCGGTTTTGAGAATGACCAGACCAAATGTATGCTGGACTTAGTGCTACATTTTTTTTAGTACTTCACTACATTTTAGCAGTAGTTCAAAGCACTCTGACATTTGTAGCGTTACAAATGTAATGTCTGTCCAGGACCTTGTTGTGTGGGCCTAGACATCAGCTGTTCACATCCATGTTCTGTCATGCTAAAAATGGCTAATTGTCAATAAAGAAGTTGCAGGAAACTTTTCCACATCAGATTTAACATGTGGACAGGTCTTCCTGTCCCCAGTATCCCATAGTGTTTTGCTCTCTCTTCTCCCTCTAGGAGGGAGGGAAGGAAGCTGACTATCTGATAGCTAGCAGTTGAGCAAACTGTCAGGATGCCCTGCAGGACCAGCTTGAAGCCAGCCTAGTCAGTTGTTGCCACCAGTCAGCAACAGTGATGGAGCTGCAGCAGAGGCAGCATCTGATCGGGCATTTTTCATTGGCCAAACAGCCTTTGCTACCATGTGGCTTGAAGGCAGCCCCATCCCCCTTGCCTCCTTGGAGCAAGCTTTTATGGTGCAAGGGGCTGCAAGCCCATTAAAGCACCAGGAACTGTAAAAGGGCAGAATCTGCAGCCTGTTAAAAGTGAGGCGTCATTGAATATTTCTTTCTATCCTTACTCATGCAATCAGCCTGTAGAAAAGTAAATTACTTTTGGAGGATAGACACTGATCCATGAAGTACTATGCATGTTTCTTTGGAAAAGCTCTGTTTTATAATTTGAAAGGTTTTATTTTTATTAAAACAACCCATCATATCAGAAAGCAAACAAGGTCTGGCTATTTTTAACAGTTTTTTCCTCTCCATTACTGCAGTCCATCTTTAAATTTCATGTCAGATTGTTTTCAGTTTAAGACTAATTCTTAGTTAGACTTCAAATGGGCAAAATGTTCCATGTCTACAAAGGATTGCATTGTACAATAGGATTTGGGGGAAGAGAGCACCTTGACTCTGCTTTTACTAATGTGGCTGCTTTCAAGACTAGAGGGGCTAGATCCACACATGTTTACGCATCTAAAACAGTACTTGGACAGAACTAGTTATTGAAGTTCATCAGTGTGATCTTGAAAACCCTAGTTTAAGCCCTGAGATGCCAAAAGTCTTTAATTATCTATGTTTCTGCAGTAAGCTTTTGGGGGTGCCCACAGTTCTGCTTCTACACATGTCCAGAACTGCTTTCATCATGCTTGGCACCTGTCTAATTTCTGAGATTGATTAGGATCCTCAAACTTTACTTAGTTCCACTAAGGAAATTAGCCCTGAGCATTTGGGTGCAGGAACTTTTTTTCCTTGTATTAGGCAGCACCAAATATACTGTCTGTGCTAAGCAGTAGTATTTATCAGCCACTAATTCATGTTTTAATACTATAATAGGTTGAAACTCAGTGGAAAAGAATGGGGTATGATATTGAGCGTTTTGTGGGTTATGTTAATGAAGGACTTCTGTGCTCCATATGCCGGGATGTTTTAGAAGATCCCTTGCAGGCTCCTTGTGAACATGCTTTCTGCACTACATGTATACATGGATGGCTTGTTCATCACAGTAACTGCCCTGAGGACAGGCAGGCACTTGATGCATCTGTGCTACACCCTCTCTACAGGTATGTAAATATTGGAGAGTAAACTGAAGTTTTTCCTAAATATTTACACTGCTGAAATTCTGTAACTGTGGGCTTCCCAAAGCTTACATTGCAAATCTGAGTCCTGCCTATTTTCCATCATTTGGACCACTTCCCCTCCCAATTTTCTGTGGCATAACTTGCATGTGGTAGAAACTGTGATTATATGTACAGAAACATATGTATGGATTTATATACAGGGTCTTCATAAAGTCCTTGTGCACTTTTAAATTTTAATAACAGGTTGTAGGTATGATAGAAACAAATCTGTAAATGGCATTTAAAAGCAAATTTACTAAAATTTTAGGACAACCAGAGCACACAGTGCTAGACTTCAACATAACCACCATCCATCATGATACATTGCTCAATATGATCTTCTAACTCCTTGAAAACATTTCCCAGTTGCTCCTGAGTTACGGCACTAATTGCATTGGTGATCCAAGCCCCAAGTTCCAAAGAATGTGATTTTGACAAGTAAACTACAGTTTTAACATGTGGACCAATTGCTTGGCCACCCTGTTCACCTGACCTGTTGCCATTGGATTTCTTTTTATGGGGACCTCTGCCTTTCCACTTCTCGGGGAAAATATCATTTAGGAACTGTTGTACATTCAGAGCGTAGTAGCCATCTTATTTAAAAATAAAATTTGTTATTGCTTATGAAGTCTAGCATTGTGTACTCTAGTTGTCCTACAGCTTTAATAAATTTGCTTTTAAATGCTGTTTACAGATTGTTTCTATCATACCTACAACCTTAGTTATTATAGTTTAAGAGTGCACAAGGACTTATGAAGACCCTCTATTAACTACTTTCACTATAATATGATTTTTTTTTAAAAAACCAAAAAACCCAGTACATTTATCTCGTTACCTATTTGTACTTTTGTCTTACCTGGAGTCCTAGAATATTATTCAGAAATTGCCTTCAGACAAAAATACCAATCCACACTCTTCAAAAGAAACCAAATGTTACAGGTTGGTCTGCTCTCTGATGGAGCAGCCAGCTCTGTTTAGCAAAATGCCCCACAGCTGAATGCCCTTATGAGGGAGTGTCCCACTGGGAGCTTAAAACTCATGGGAGAGAGCAGAAGCAGGCAAGCTAGGAGGACCAGCTTGCAAGGAGAAGCCAGGTTGTGCTGGGAAAAAGCAGCTGCTCTAGTATCTGAAGAAGATGGAGGATTTTGGTTTGTTCTGTTTGTGTTGTTACGAGACTGAAGCATGTTTGGTGGGAACTGAACTGCCTGAGGGACTGACAACAAAGCTAACTGGCTTGCAAGAAGCAGCAGGATAAAGGACTTCACACTATGCTAGAAGCCCACGGGCACTGTGAAGCTAGCGTTCTTCTGCACCTATGTAAATTGACTTGTAATGATTAGTGTCACAAATGTGAACACAACACTTATTAAATCTCTCTTGAGAGAGAAACTAGTTATTCAAGCATGCCTTGGGCCTCCTCTTTCAGAATAAAAGCACTTTGCATTTCCACTAATTTTTTTCACCCCTTCATTTTCTACCATTCTCACCAAGAATCAGATCTTGGTACTTTAATCATGAAGTTAAAGTTCTACATGCACAATAGATAAAATACTACAATAACAATTATGTAGCACTGATTGATATGAATTAAGGGTGACTTAAGGTTGTGTAGGGTAGGGGACAGGTGGTTTATGGGTAATTCTCACCCTGTCGATCCACACCACAATAACTAAATTAATCCACCAATTCAGCTTGGTTTAGCCTAAATCCATGTGTAAAGTACTTTTTTCTGCCTGATTCTATAATGGTTTGGCCCTTTCCAGGTAGGCCAGACAAAGTGTAGTAAAGAAGTGAGAGATTATGCCAAGTGTGACAGGGCCAAGTCTCAGCATTGGCCCACCCCCCTGTCTGTATGGGGCAGTCCACCCAGTCTCACCTGCCATCACATGCTCTTTATCAAATTGGTATAAGATGTGGGAGGCTGCCCATTTTAACACCCCAATGCCAAGAGGGGCTCTACATGACTCCAGCCTCCCCCTATCTTGTCTCATGCCTCGATGATGGCATTCAGATTATTTAATTACAGCTCTGGCTCAAGGCCGGGCAAGGCTAGGTCCACAGTTGGGCCTCTCACACATTGCCTCCTTTGGGGCCTCATTCATACCACCCCTCACTAGGGATTGTTCCACACCACTGTCTCTCACCAGGCCTTTTATACACTGCCCCTCACAACCTGCCCTGCTTCCTTGAGCGACCGCCTTGGATTATCAGGTTTAACTACTGTCATGCTGGCACTGCAAACACAGCCTTTCACATTGCTTGTGCTCCCCTACTCTACGCGGCATCAGCCTTGTGCCTAACAGTGAACTGAGTCTGCCCATAGCCCCTCACCAGGCAGCTTCCCACATTCATATACTTGTGGGGGTTGTCCCATGTGCTGCCTTTTTAGCTGTCTTTCAGCTCTACTCAACACACCCCCGGTGCAACCCTTCAGACCAGCCTTCAGCCCTACTCTACACCTTGCTTATGCACAGTCCTTTGGGTTGTAACAACAGCCCCTACTCTGTGTGGGCCTACCATATGTAACTGCCCCGCTCTGGGGCCACTCTCCTGCCCTCTCTCTAGGCCACTCTACTGCTCCCTCCCTAGGGCTTCTGGGGTCTTACACCTCTGTGGGGCTCAGGTGTCTAAAGATGTACCTGGCTCCCATGCCTGTCCCTAAGTCTGGGTGACCAGGATGTGGGGGCCCCTCCCTGCCTTTCAGTGGGGAGGCAACTGGCCAGGTATTTCTGGGGAGCTCCCCCACCATGGGTAGCCCCACCAAGCCATCCTTCCCCAGCAGGGTGCAGTTTTCAGTCATACCTAGGACCAGGAGCCTCTTACCATCCCCGTAGCTCCTGCCCTTACCTCCAAGGATGTTCTGAGCAGCCGCTCAACCGGGTGTTGCTTTTTCAGCTGCTAGCAGCAGACTGCTACCTCTTCCTCATGGGCTTAGATCTAAAATGGCTGCCTCATCAGGGCTGGCCCACAGCTGCCGGCTCCCAGCCTTAAAGCGGCAGGCACCCAAAAGTGCCCTGCCACACGAAGTTCTTACAATTACATTTTGGTTTTGCCTTTGCTACATTTTTTCCCAAATGTTCCAAACACTGTAGTTCTGGCAGAAATGGTGTAAGCACTAGTAAGGAAAAGGGTGGGGTTTTCTGATAATTTTGCAGCCAGGCTTAAACAGTCACTTAAAAATTAAGGGTGCCATAAGATCACAATATTTGGCACAATACTTTTAGTTTGGGAAAATAAAATAAATTGGAAGGTATTGCCAAAAAAGCTTTACAGAAGTTTAGCAAAGTTTATTAAATTTTATACTAAAGCAAGGATCTTCTGTTTAACTCAGCACGTTCATTTTGTATTTGCTTATCAATATGCTTTTCATGACCTTCCTGAAACATTATGGCTCCAAATGCCCCTAATTCTTCTCAGATCTCAATGAAATCTATTCAAAATCTAATTGAAATAATACAAGCTATTGCCCCGATGGGCAGTTATTTGGGTTGGAGGGGCTCTTAGGGAGGTTTGGTTAGTTGTTGCAGGCCAAGTCAATGGCCTCCTCCATCCCCTCTGCAGCAGCTCACCAAAATTCCCTAAGTGGTCCAGCGGTGCCAGACAGAGTAGGCAGCCTGGATCTCCATGGAGCCCAGCCAGGACCCCACCAGGCAAGGCGTACTCAGCTAGATGCATGCAATAGGGCTGCGTGCAGGCAAGCACCGGCATCTGGGAGCAGGATGGGCAAGCAGGGCCAGAGCCAGGATTGCAGGGTGATGACAGCATGGGCAGAGCTGCAGTCCACTCCCTGCATGGCCCTGTGCTGTCATTGCCCTGCGATCCCAGCCCTGACCTCTCCCACCCGTCCTGCTCCCAGATGCCACTCCCCACCCAGCTGTACACATCCTGCCCATGGGGGTCCCAGCCACTCTTTCTGGAGACCAAGCCCACCTGCCTGCTCTATCTAGTGCCCCCAGTGATGGGTGCGGGGCAGACAAGCTGGGGTGCCCAGGTAGTGGGGGCCAAATCTAGTGGTGGTGACAGCAACTGTGGCAATCAAAAGGAGCCACCACTGGGAAACAGAGCTGCTGCGAAATAGAGTCTGGCTGCTGTACTGCCCCAGCCCCACAGCACCTGGGGGCAGCAGAAATGGCTGCATGTACCATGGCCTAGGCTGCCCCCCACACCTGGACCAGGCGGGACTGAGGGACCTACCACAGGCTGGATAAAATCCCTTGGCGGGCCAGATCCGGCTCGCGGGCTGTATTTTGCCCACCCCTGCTATAGCCTCTCTCTTAGCTAGCATTAGCATCTGTTACTTTGAATTGTGACTTACTGGTAACATTTCTTCATTTGTACATTTAATTTTGCACCAAAATGTTCCATTACGATACGTTTCCCTAACTTTTGACTTTGTCTAACAAAGCATGATAACTTGAATGCTAAAAATACAGAACAGAGCACTGGCCCTTTTTCCTTGTAGGAGTGAGAATCCCTGAAATGTGGCAAATATCAACTGTTTTTACAGTTTCCAGCAGTTAAAAATAACTTTTTCTGTATGTAGATATATGAAAAATGACCTAAATCGACTTCAGCTTCACTGCAAAAACAGAGAACATGGCTGTGACATGGTCTGTTCTCTAGAATCTATAGACAGACATGAGAGAGAATGTGAATACGGCCAGATATCTTGCTCAAATGCTGGTGAGTAAAAGAAGCTGAGCCCTCTCTATACAGAAAAAAATCTGGTGCTTGTCAAACTTCATGACAGCAGAGTAGCAGCAATGGACATTCATTTGAGTTCTGAATTGTAGGCCAAAAAGAAAGAACCTTTCTTTAGAAATGTGAGCAAACAGGCACTTCAGCTTGTACATTCCTGTTCAGGCACAGTCTGTTCAACAAACAAAACCAAACCAAAAGCCAATACAAAACTCAAAGAAAATAAGTTAGCACACCCAGGTCACTGCAACAGTCTTCTAAACAAGGCTTATTCCTGATTTATTGTCCACAGTTGTTTCTTCTCATCTGCAAACTAGTAAGAATTAATTAGAATATTGGGCTATGTACTAATTTTTTTTCAAATATGCTATGAAGCATAGTTTTCACTTTCTGCCAATTTACAATTTTGTTAAGCCACGTTGATTATGCATGTGATGATTGGATCATCTGTGAACAGGCATTACATTTGTGCTTAGAGAAGAGTATTTCTCCTGGTACAGAAAGAGAGTGCACAGCCATTCATGAGATTTGTTGCGGAAGAGAACAAGCTCTTCCACAAGAAAGTTAGATTGGATACCTACTAGGAAGAGCTTCCCCTTGTCTAACTTGAACAGCTGTACACTTCTGTCAGATGTTGAAGACACCCAATATCACATAGTCCCCTGCTCTCCCTTTCTCCCTCCAAGGGAGAGCACTGGCTCCCTCATAGCCGACCCAGGGGTGAGTTGTCAGGAAGCCCTGCAGGGACCCTGCTTTGAAAAATTCCCTTGCCCCTGCCACCAGTCAACTGATTGGTGAGGGGACATTCTCCTTTTGGGAGAACCCTCCTGAATGGGTTTCCACCATAGGAGAATGCCCCTTTCTCTTCCTGGACTGCTCCAGGTCAGCCCAGGGGTTGCCCCAGAGGAGCACATGGTGTGGGAGATACTTTGCCACAATGGAACATGAGAAGATAGGGGAGAGGGTTATTGTCCCAGGGCTTTTCAGCTGTTGCCAGCCACCAGTTTGAGCGCCATCCCCCTTCCAAAGCAGGAAAGAGGGCAGGCTGTCAATTGATGGGCTCCTCTAAGGGTGGGAGTAGCCCAGGGAGCAGCCCTCTAGTGTAACCTGTGTAACCCTCCGCCCAGGGGGCTGGAATGCATGTACACTCCAGCTCCCAGGGGATTTTTCTAGTAGAAAGAATTCAGAGAGATCCTTACTTGCTACCAGGAATGAACACCTGTCTATGGCCTCAGCTTTCTGACAAGTTTAGTGATTTTAGATAGAATTACAGCATAGTTCTCTCAGGAGTTTCCAGATTTGTTAAAGTTTTTTCATAGAAGGTACAGTGAAAAACAATAATACAGTTATTAGATTTTTCAGTGTGTATGGAATAATGCATGTGCTCCAAAGTTTTAGGCCCAGTGTTGTTTCTGCTAGTACATGGGCCTCCTCCAATAAGTTAGTTTTCACTGGTACTTCAGCTTCACTGCATGTATACTTTAAGCTTTTCAAATGAAATATTGTTAAATGAATAGAACTATTTAATGAACAAAATCTCTCTCAAACCTTATGCATTTTTAAGTCATAGCATGCACAAATAGGATGGAGTATCTCATACTCTTCAACCTATGCCAAGTATTTGGTCTCAGTTCCTATTACAGAAAATTCATAGAGTGCAATAGCTGTTAAAGGAGTACGAAGCTTGTGTGTCATAATTTACCCCTGGAATTGCCTGTTGCCTTGTTGCTGTCCTGCAGAAGTTTTCCTTCTCTAATTTTAAATAGAAATTCCATCTGGGTCCTTAAAAAAATCTTCCCTGACCAACATTTCAGCAAAAGGCTACATTTTTGACAGTATACATTTTCCATAAAAAACACATTTAAGAATTCTATGCAAAGGGTTTTGTCGCATTCCACAAACTTGTGTTTTAAGAGGCCACATTAAAGCCTATTTTATGCAATTCCACTATCTTATTACTAGAAACCTCCACTGGACAACTGACATTTTCCATTTTCATGAGTAGTAGCCGGAGTGTTTCGCTGTAGCATTTTTCCATGGCCTTTGTGTTCTGTGTGTCCTTTTAAAGAATAGACCAGATAAGTAAGACAGTACAGTCAAGAGCAGCATTTCTCAACCTTTTCAGATCAGCAAACCTTATGCAGTGAAACTTTTTTTTCCCCCAAAATTCTCATATTATAAGAGACTAAAAATGTGCACCACAGCTCTTACCTCAGGCTTTGAGAGTTTTGGCCAGCCCAGAGGTTTTCTGGAAATTTGAAGTTATCTTTAGAGTACTTTATTTTTAGTGTCTCAATTCCCCAAGCTGTCAACACTGGCATTTATCTTGGTCTCCAGTGATTCCTTTCTGTGGTGGAAATGTTAATTTAGAGCAGCTGCTAGTATCCCTGGTCCACATTAGCCTTGCCATGAGTGAAGTTGCCTCCATGCCTGACCAACAGTAGGAAAGTAGCTACAAGCTTAATCTAGACAGTATTTTAGGGCCTTTTTTATTATTTGTGTAATCATGGGTCTCTCCCCACACTTTAAGGGAATTGCTTTGTTGTTTGTTTTGACAGACTTGAATGTGGTCAGTTCTGTGCTTTGTGGCTTCCATGCCCATTAGGGTGGTTTTTGCTAAGTTTTGGGGTGCTTCTATGAATTTTAACTGGCTTAATGCTTTAGTTTATTGCTTCCTGTTAGGTTGTCCAGTTCAGGTCGAGCGACGTAACTTAGAAGGCCATTTGGCACTGTGTGAATACCGGAGCCGTGAGTGTCCCAATGGTTGTGGTTACACCATCCTCAGTGCAGAAGACACACAGCATAACTGCGTAGCAGAGCTAAGAACAGAACTGGAATTGCTTCGGTATGGTTCTTTCTCTGTTTCTGGGGTGTTTATATTATTGTGGACCTAAAATCATTGCATATAATAGATGGTTTCAAGTACTAGCTCTTAATTCTGATTACTGTCAATTGATATTCATTGTTCCTAGTGTACACACACACACACACACACACACACACAGAGTAAGCTCTCACTACTTTTTTTTAGCCTAAATTATTTTGATCAACCTATTTTTTTCACATGCAGAGTTTAGAATTATTCAAAATAAATGAGTATTTGAACTAGTGAAATAATCCCTAAAAATTAGACTGAGACTGTTGAATAGGTTTATTTTTAGCTTAACATGATACATGCCTAAAGCCAAATTATTATGTAGTTAGAGTCAATAGTTTGAAAGTCTCTACTCTAATTGTGTTCAGTAGCTCTAAATCAGCAATGAGAGGCTGGTTCTAGCTTTCATCTAAAATAAATCACAAAAGACTAATACCAGCCAGTGTGAATGTTTGCACTACTTGCCTGTTTCTCCTCTTTTCTCTGTTCTTCCTCCAGTTTAACGTTTCCGTAATCTTCCACCAGTTTTGTTCCTTGCCACCTTCTCTCTTCCCCTCTTCTCTCTTTCTCCATTGGTCAGTGGAGGCCCCTGCTTACTTGCCCTTGGCCAGTGACCCAAATGCAGTGAGAACCGGTGACCTCTCCTCATACCAAGGCAATAGGGATGCTAACGTGCATACAATTCAAGGGGTTAACCTGTTAACATTAGGACTTTGGCTGCAGCTGTTTAATAACTAAATTAAAATAGTGTTCTCGCAATTATTGCCTTTGAATGTCCAGCAGAAATTGACCAGAGCAAAAGATTACAGATGCTATGGTGGCCAAGCCTCCATGGAGCAAAAGGAATGACAAACACTGACATATTCATGCCTTTTTATTTTGACAGAGTACATTACTCCTAAACTAACAAATAACCATCCAAAGGTCTGTTAAGCCAAACAGTCCCTCAGGCCAGTCTGAGTTAGGCACACTAGTTTTTGTAGATGCCATACTCTGCACAAGATACCAGGCATACCTATTAGCAAAGTTAATCACATGTTTTTGACTAAAAAACATTAAATTAACTAAGTCTAAAAAGAGTTTAGATTCTAGAATTATTCCTGCAGTGTCTTGCATACTGCTGCCCATCATCACAGGAACGAGACCCTTGGGTCTCTCTTCTCCTGATACCAATAGTAGGATGTGAATGTTCCATCAAAGGAAGATTAAAACCCTTGAATGTTACACATCAAGCAAGAATACTGTTGGTTGGCAAAATATACTGAAAGGCCCTTCTTGCCTCTAATCCTGAACTCCTTTAATTCAAAAGTGAAGTAGCTATTTGGCTATAGAAGTTTGCTCTGACTCTTGAAAAAAAATACAGGTGTACTTCCTTGGTTAAAAATGAAAACCTGGACCATTTTAGGTCAGAAATGATCTGCAGAGTGGAAGAAGCAAAGCATGAGATGGAATCTAGGTTGGATTCCCAGAGAAGACACATGGTGCAAAAGGAAAGCATGCTGCAAAATGAAATTGAGGAGCTGAAGGTAAGTGGGTACCAGAACCATTTTCCAGTGCTTTTCTTCTCCCAGAAGTCAAGGCTTGCTGCACTTCCCAGTAAGGGAAGCTGCATTTCTTTCTTATAAGTGAAAGAAAAATCATCTTATATTTTAGTCATCTAAAATATGATTTTCAAAAGATTGCTGCATCTGGTTTCCAGCTGAACTGTTAAGGCACAAGGCATGTCAGAGTAATTCAGCTCCTGTGCTTGCATTTTAAGTGTCTTCTCCTAAAAAGAAACATGGGCTGTAGTACTATGTTGGTGACCTGAATAACAGTTGGAGCTATATTCAAACACACTTCCAAACCCCATTATAGATAAGGTAAATTAAATAGCAAGTGAGATGATGTGTTGTCAAAACCATTCATCCAGCTTTTTTATCCCAAAACAAAAACCCCCCCAAAAACACAACCCTCAAAGCCTGGAGCAATTTAAATCTCTAATTTAAGGTTCCTAATGAATTAAAATACTGGAAGTGACTAAAAACCAAATCACAAACTTCTTCAGGATTTTGAGATACAAATCATAAGAAGCAACATTGAAATCTTCTGGAAAATCTAGAATCTGAGAGATGGTCCTATTTGAGATTAGTGCGAGAGGGCAGGTGGGAGCTGTGCTGCATTCTCCCTAGGATGAAATTTTTGTCACTGAAAGTTGGAGTTAAGAATACTCTTAGCTGTTCACTGTCTGTCCTCCTAGAGATGCAGAAACCATGTCAACTCCAATACAACCATCATCAGAACTGGATTAATTTGAGTTTTTGGGTCGGTCTGTTTTCTGTCTGCTTTCAGAGTCAGATGTCGCGAATGATGTCTGACGTGCGCTCCCTGCTGGCAGCAGAGAGACAGCATCGTCAAGAGCTGGAGCAGGCAGAGCTTGAAAAGCGTGAATTAATGGAGTTGCTAAAAAGCCTGCAGAAAGACTGCCGACGGAACACTACTGAGGGAAACAAGAAATCCACGAACTTTCGCCCTCTAACACGACTGGAGAGTATGAAACGAAAACCTAGGGAAGTTACCGTCATCTAAAAAGAAGTAAGTGCAACAACATATGAGGTTCTACTTTTTGGGAACTGCTGGCAAAATTTCTATCAATTATAAAGAATCTATTTTCTGAGTGGATCCCAGAGGACAAACATCTTTTATAAAGAGCAGCTCACGTACTCTGGAGACTTTATAAATAGTCTAGAAAGACTATAGTCTGCAGGGGGAGGTTTTATGTCCATTTTTTAAGTCCATCAAATCAAATATTGAACATTAAAACCTGCCTTTTTTAAGAAGTACTCTCAACCAATATAGATACGTATCAAGAGCTCTCGACTTGTAGCCTCTTTCTGAGCTGTTTGCAGTACCTTCTTTATAAACATGGAACCATGAGTTTTTGAGAGGTTAAAAGCGTTTGGATGTTTCACCCCAGTCTTTCAAAGCTATCATATGATCCTTTTTTCTTACCTTGTTTATATATAAGCCATGATATGTTGTGACAGCCAAAATATACTTAATTTTGGGACAAGTATTTAAGTTCTTCAAAGGTGATAGGGAAAACTAACATTGCATATATTTTGTGTTTCCAGCAAAAATTATACATGTCAGTAAAAGAATAGAGCATTAAAATGACCTTTGCTAAATTCTCTACCTGCATACAACAGCTTAAAGGTCAGTCGGTCTGGACCTGAAACTATATGACAGAGCTCCTTTAATCCCCCTAGCCTCTGTTTAGCTTTTTCTGAAGCTAGATGCTACTACAACCCAGGATAACAATGGAGGACTATTTTAGCATTATAGTTATCTCATTGCCAAGTTGTTTAGAGTTCTCTTTTAGTTTAGTTTCCACCCCAAAGGAGCTCACAATTTATTTATTTCTTTGTCCTGAATACTTGCAAGCTTTTGTATCTGACCTGGATTGTTAAAACATTGCTCACAGCTCTCTCACATTTTTAACACTTTTGTAAGATCTGCATTACAGGACAAGTAATACTGAAAATCCAGTTCTGCTTATTTGTACATTTCACTACAATATCACTGCCAAGGTCTGAGATCTGTTTAGAAGTTTAAAACCTCTAAACATGGTAGGGAAATGTAAATAACTTTAACACATATATAGCACCTGAGCATCTTCAATTTTATTTTCGCAGGTATGATTAAAACTACTTGAACATTAATACAACAGACCGCCATTTTATACAAAAGAAATATGGTTACATGGATTTCAGACTACTAAAATCTGGAGCTATACAACAGCAACAGTAGGATTTTATAAGAGACCCACAAATCTTGACTTGTGGGGTTTCTTACATCTGAGGACTGTGAACATTTAGAACAGGAGCGGGCAATTATTTGGGCCTGCGGACCACATGAGCAGTTTTGGGGAGCTGTTGTGAGCCAGTCAACACCCACCCCCCATTCCACGTAACAGCTCACCAAACCCAGAGCCCGCGGGCCCTGCAGTCCCTCCCTGACACTGCCACCACCACTACTGCCCAGTAGCAGCTGAGCACACTGCTCTTGTCCAAGCCCACCCTACACCTGCTCCAGACTTGCCCCAGCTGAATCAAGCCAGCTCCAGCCCAGCCAGGACCCAAGCGTACGGCCCTGTTTCTGGCCCACCCTGTACCTGCTTCAGACCTGCCCTGGCCAGAGCAAACCAGCTCCAGACCAGCAGGGCTGGGGCAGCTCCTTCAGGTTGCTGCTGCCAGCTCCAGCCCCATGGAGACTGGTAGGGTCCTGTGTACACAGCCCCAATCCTGGCCCACCCCATGCCTGCCTTGGACCAGCCTGCCCACAATGAGAAGCGGCAGCCAGGCAGAAGCTGCTGCTGGGCACAGAGAAAAAACAGCAACCCCATCACCGCCCTTCTTTTTGCAGCTGCCTGGAGCCCACACCCAGGATGCTCTGTGGCTCCTCTACTGAGACCACTGCCATGCTGGGCAGCCCAGAGGTGGTGCTGGTAACAAGGGTTAGCACTTCAGGGCAGCCTGGACATGGGCTTCAGGCAGCCACAGCAAGAAAGGCCCAGCAACAGTGAGGGGGAGGCAGCTACTTTTTCCCTTATGCCCAGCACAGATTCTGTCTAGGTGCTGCCACTGTCGCTGATCAGCACGGACCAGCCAGTCTGGATCAGGTGCAGGATGGGCCAGGGTCAGGGCCAGAGCCGTGCACACAGGTTCCTGCCAGTCTCCCCAGGGCTGGGGTTGGTGGTGGCAACTGGAAGGAGCCACCCCAGCCCCACTGTGCACCCAGGGTAGTGGGATGTGTACTATGGGCCAAACGGATTTGGCCTGTGGGTCAGATTTTTCCCCACTCCGACTTAGAAATGTACACAGCTCCAATCTAATTACCTTGCTCCTGTTCTCTAACCTTCTCATGACTCTTGCTGCACTATTTTTTAGCACTGCTGTTAGACCATATTCTGTCCTTATACCCATGCAGTGAAATAAAAATTGGCCTGTGTTTTTAGTTACTAAATTTGCTAACTCCAATTGTGAAAAATTCAGGAAAAAAAAAAAAGTCACATGCAGGTGATACAATCTTAAGCTAATTTTCTAATTTAGAAGAAAATACCCTTATGTGCCTTGTTATTCTGTGTATTTAAATCTTTATAGCAAATGAACATAACCAAAGATTTATTTTGGAAGGTAGACTTCTTTAGTATTTACACTACCTTTAACAGACTTACAGTCACTTTTCCACCCCACCCCCTGCCCTCCACCAAAATCAAATGTTAAGGAATTCAGTTTATTTTATTTAGAATTCTTAGCATTTTTCTTTACTAGTGAAAAGAAAATGAAAATCTTACAAGCTCAGGGCGGCTTCTCCACACTTGGGCATTGACTGGATAAGCTCCTTTTATGGACATTCCTATTTTGAATCTGTCTACCGGGGAGTTGTTCCTAGAATAGCCCTTCCACTTTAAATGCATGCCCTCTGTTTTTCTGGATTGATTTCTAAGTGTAGACAAACCCTTGGATTATTCTAGTAGCCTTTTTCTAACCTGGGATCCTAGCACATTTCTTAAGCAGCTGTGTCAAAAGCAGTGTAAGATTGTAAAGCAATAGCCATACCTTTTAAAGAGCTTGGCTTGTGGAAAGTGTTTGCTTTGCACAGAGCAGTGCAAGCCTCCTTCAAACCTGCAGACAAAGCCCAGAGCTGTTTTTTATTTTGAGCTCACTCTCGTCCACTGCCACCCATCCCCCCATCTTTGTCATTGGTGGTTTTGTAGTATTAACCCAGACAGCTGTTTTTTCAGGATACAGTTACAGCAAACATAAAAAAAATACCCAATAGAAATTTTCCTACATCATTTAAACTAAATGAAATTGGTCTGCTAGAGTGTCACCGAAGTCAGCGTTTAAGCAGCAAGACCAGATGGATTATCCTTCCAGAACTGCACATTAGAACTGATCATTTGAACCGCAGTGTGTGGTCCTGACTCATAAAAATCAGGTCAAGTTCAACTTGGTGCCTGGGGGCTTTGTATAACATCTTTGTATACTACCTATTTGCATACTAAAGACTTATTAAAAGAAAAAGTAGACTCTTCATGTGTCATGGAAGTAGAATTAGCACCTGCTGTTTATTTGGAAGACTAGAATGTCAACCACCTTTCCTTTAGTCAGATCTATTTATTAGATTATTACATTTTGTTTTACTTAATCTGGTTTACTAGTGACTTTAAAGATGCACCAAAATCAGTTTGACACCTGGTCTTCCCTGGCTTTTATGCCTGACCACAACTCAAAATTCCCTCCCACATAAGCCTTCCAGAAGCTTAAAAATTCCTGTGGAATAATTAGTGAACTAGGCTAGATCTTTGTGGTCAGTAATTGCTTTCTTTATTGAAAGGTTACACTAGAATAGTCTTCATTTGATTGGCTCCCTTTGGTTTCAGCAAGACTTTGGAATGCCAGGGCAACTATACATGTAACAGCACACATCGGAGCAGACTCTATTGTTTGAGCCTGCTGCAAGTCTGCTAGAGCATGCCAGTTAGCATGCTCCAGAAGCCTCCATATCATGTGTATTCAGCATCCACATTTCAAAGTGGCAGTGGGGGCACTTGAACTAAAGCTTGTTCAAAGAGCTTTAGTTAAATGCCCCTACTGCCATTTTGAAGCGCAGGACACTGAATGCACGTGACACTGCTGGTGCTTTAATTAGAGTGGCTCTGAGTCACTTATATTGAAGCACCCTTACCTCCTTCCTGGTGCATATGTATAGCTGCCCCAAAAAACCGTGATCATTGAGGATCTTATATGTTTAGTTTAACTGAGTTGCAGTGAAATCTATTTGCTGGTAATATTCCCAGTTAAGCTATTTTAGTTAGGCTGATTCTAATATTTAGATAAGATGAAAAATTTAGCTTAACATATATTGTCTATGTATATTATCAGACATCACGAACTATACAGCAAGTTTCTTTTCCTTAGATGAAAAAGTGAATGAATGATGTCGTAAAATAACGTAAAATAATAACCATAACTACTTTAGCTGGAAAATTGTGGTATGTTTTTAATGTCTTAAAACATCATTGGGTAATGTAAGATTTTTTTTTTAAGTTAAATTCCAGGCAGTGAATAGTTCCTGAAATATATTAAAATAAGGAACCCTATAAATGTTGCCACGTTGCTCCCTGGCTATTTTTTCATTGTTGGTAGGGTCAGAAGGGACCTAAGTAGATCATCAAGTCTGACCCCCTGCCGTGGGCAGGAAAGTGTACCAGGTTCAAATGACCCTGGCAAGGTGTCCATCTAGCCTCCTTTTGAAGACCCCCAGGGTAGGAGCGAGCACCACTTCCCTTGTAAGTTGGTTCCAGATCCTAGCCTCCCTGACTGTGAAGTAGTGCCTCCTGATAGCTAGCCTGAATCTACTCTCAGTCAACTTACAGCCCTTATTCCTTGTTACTCCCGGTAGTGCTCGGGGGAACAGGGACTCTCCCATAGCCTCCTGGTCTCCCTTGGCCAGTTTGTAGACAGCCATCAGATGTGATGCTTCTCTGCAGATAGTGTTTAGGACTCCAAGATAATACATACAGAGACCAAATATGACCTTTTGTTTCCATATGTACTACTTCAGTGAAACCACATCATTTATTCCTCAGAGGCACAGAGAAAACTTAAAAAAACTCTGCTTAAGTCAACAGGTGCCTTTATAAATACCTGCAATTCTGTGCAACTTTCAGTCGTCTTCCAGCACTACAGTTCAGTGCCAGTCTACTCAAAGAATGACATTTATCATCTTTATGAAAAAACAGAAAAATAGGATTTATGAAGTTGTATTTGGGAACTAAATTTTATATGGTAGCATCTGTAAAAGAAGCCAACGTAAGGCTTGTATCAAATTGAACTAATAAAGGTAGTTTATGTAAGACGACTTGTTCTTTTTGCTTCACTTCACTATTCTACTATGTAAATTCTGGTACTTTCTTTGCCTAGAGATATTCAAGTGCATTTTTCATTATTTCCAAGCTACTATGCAGGAAAACAATAGCTAAAGTACTCTTTAGGTCAGGAAGAGTTGATTTGAAATAAGAATCAGAGTTCAAGGGCCTTCTCTGCCTTATGAATGGGATACATTTAAGTAACAGAGCTCTTATATGATGTAGTCTTCCGCTCAAGATATGACCTTCCCTCCTCGCAGAGTGGGGAGGAGTTGTTTGTATACGGCTGCTTTTAGTGGCCAGCCTCCTCCACTCTGGAGGGACAACAGAGCTCTTAAAGTGTTGCAAGCTGCAGGATGCAATAACCTGAGGGCCAAATCCTCCTTAGTCAATAGTAAGCGATTCAAAACAAACAAAGCTAATAATGAATTTGCTGGCCATTGCTTGAAAAGTTCTCACTGCAAACTGCAGAATAACTAAAGTGCCTTCATCATGGTACATCGCTATTCTGTATTAACTAAATGAGCAAGTCTTTGTCCGAAGAAGACGACTTTCCTATGGCCATAGGTCATTTGCTTAGGTATCAACATTCAGCTGTTCAGCTTTTTTTGAGACATTCTGGCTGGGTCTTGTAGCAATCTTAGTTTACCATTTCATTTATCACTCAGAGGACCAAATACACAGCTACAGCATCTGCAGAGTGAGGGAGGAAAATAACTGAAGTCATCTCCTCAAATGTCCATTTACATTACACCCAAAGGTCATTCTGGCTTTTATACTGGCCACCTGCAGTTTAATTAGGGCAAAAACATAGAACAAAGAAGAATATCTGTTGCACATTGTTTTCTCTGTCAGTGAATTCAGGGTTGGTCAGGATCCCATACACACTGATATAGTTGGCAAGACACCTGGAGCTCTAAGAAAAGAGACAGGCCAACCCTGCTAGTGCATCACAAATGAACAAACTATCTTTTAGCTTTTTCCTGGTTCAGAAAGCTCAGATGTCAAAGACTCCACTTGAATCAAAGCAGCATTTATGATCAAAGGAGATAAATATACCAGTTAAGACACCCAGTTGACAGAAATTTCTGCCCAATCCTGCCCACAGCAAAATTTCTCTTGTTCTTGCTAGTATTGTGGTGTGTCTCGGCAGTATCCCAACCCTCTTGCTTACCAAATAGTTATGAAGAGCAGACCTACCTGTCCTTTCAATGTGTGAACAGCACCTGGACACACACATAAGAAAAGGAATAAAGAAACCAAACCTTTATGTTGCAGGTTTAAAGGTAAGATGAACCAGTACACTAAAAGCCACTCTGATCCAACTTATCTAGTAAAATGTGGTCTTATCCAAGGGTTATTCTCCAGAATGTCCGATTTAACATAATTTGGTGGTTAATATTTAAGCTCAACTCAGTTCCCATCAGGAAAAAGTTGGATATCAAAAGTTGCTGCAAAATAGCCCCTTAAAACTGTGGCAGCTTCAAAGGGACACCCAATAGGAAAAATACTACAATAAAGCAGCATCAGTTGCACAGGTGCCTCTTACAAGATTTAGACTTAAATAAGAAGAGGTGCAACTAACATTTTGGTACCCTGGGCAGCAAAGGCATATCTGGTAGTGGGGCTCCAGCCATACAGAGCAAGAGGTGACAAAGAGCCAGCAATCAGGGTCCATGATGGAGGAGGGGGGAGGATCTCAGAGGTGCTACCAAAAACCACATTGAGCCACAATATAACACCTCAAATTTGCTAGCATCCAGTGAAAGGATTAACCTCCTGGCTGCAGAGTGCTGCCCACCCCTAGATGCTCCTCCTCCAACTCCAGAGTTTTGAGCCGCACTGCTTCCACCCTGACTGCTGGCTCCTTGCCACTTCCTCCTGCTCCAAGCTGCTTGACCACCCCTCCCCCCTCAACCTCCATTCCATTGCCCCCATTTAGTGCCTGGAGCTCATTACAGTACTGTATAAGCACAGAATTGTGCCTTTTGGGGTGGTTTCCCTTTGCAGGGACATTGTCAGAAAGGGATGGACTGTGTGTGACTCAATTCCAGAACCATGTTAATAAAGAAACTGGTAGACAAACTGCTCAGTTTTCAAATCTGACTAATGATTTACTTAGATTTTGTTCACCTTTATCTATAACTTTTTATTGTTTCCAGTTCGAAAGTGCCAAGTGTGACATGCTGTATTTCAAACTTTCATAAAGCAAAATTGAATATTTACAAGTCTGTTCCACACTTGCAGATTTTTCTTTTCAGTCTCTCACTAAAAACAAATCAAACATCATCTCTGCCACAGCTTCACCTTGTAGTTTCTAAAAATATAGTAATAAAATCTTTCAAAACACATGGTTGAGAAGAGCCTTAGTACACTTTACAAAATATTTATGCAATGCTCCTCCATTTAAAAAAATAGCAACAACAAACCTGTAAATGCTTACTAGAATTTCACCTGTTTTAGTTATTACAATTACATTGTGTGTAAAATTCCATCCTCCTTGATTTACTTGGGTATCTGTAGGTCTATTTTTGCAATTCAGGTAGCTTTAGATTCTCCTATCCAATAATTTTCTGAAAGATGTTACTTTATAAATATTCAATACATATGAACCAATATCTACAGGAACCTAAGTTATTCCGTATAAGCCATGACCAGTTAATTAACAGATCAAGCTTACCTCTCTTACAGGTCATGTTAATTAACTTTTTGCAAACAACTGATTTGATGGAATGTTGTGGGGTGTTCATACATAGTATCTCCACAAATAACGCCCCCTTTACATTTGCCTTCTCCACCATCTCCACTAGAACTGTTAATACAAATTTAGTTAGTGGATAAAGCTAAACGGGGTTTTTATGCATGGTGTTTACTTAGCCCAGGGTACATTTTGAAATATAGTTTTAAAGTCTATGACGTCATGCTGGCTAAGCAAAGGATATCAGGATCACTTTAAAGTGGAACTATATAAACTAGCTGGGCATGTCCTCATTTACATTTAGATCCTTTACCACCTAAAGAGACCTATGTGTAAATGAAATATGAAACTAAGAGAGCTAGCTACCATTGGTGAACATTTAATGTACATCTTTCCTTTATAGAGCTGTAACTATTCACCTCCTAGCCTTGCTGTAAGTATGCAGCAGATATACTGAAAAACTGCATTCTTCCTTACAGGACAAAATCCACTGGATTAAAAGGAAATGCAAATACTTAATGTAAAGTACAAAACAAATTCTTTGAGGAGTTCAGTATGAAAATAAATGTGACTGAAGGTTTTTTATATTGTTCCTAGTTTTCATAGGTTTGGAGTTTATTTGCACTGTATGTCAAAAATAATTATGGAAGCTAATCCAGGGGATGTATTCAACAGCTTTCAGTTGGCTAATTCATTACAGTGTTTTTCATTTTTATTGAAGCCTGTTTTTAAACCATCCCCCCCCAGTTATATAAGAGCCAGCAAGCAAGCCATTAACTCTTTCCACCCCCAAAATGCTATGGATACTTTCTTTTATGACCTCTTCTACAAGTCGCACACTTTCCAGATGGAATGATGAGCAAATTCTTAACATAGAGACTTACAGTCATGACTTCCCTAAGGAGAGTTCCTCTTTAGGCAGTCTCTTACTCTCACAGGTATCAATGCAAGTTTTGCCAATACTTTCAAAGGTTTAGAGATATGTTTAAGAATCTAAAATTCTTATACTTAAATAGCTTTTAAATTACATTTGTAAGTTTTCTGTTCCTTCACACATCAAAAGCAGTCATTTGCTATAATTTCCTCCTATTCATTAAAATATTGGTATGTACTTTATTCATTTAATGACTGACCAATAGAAATACGAGCCTATAGGTCTAAACCTGAGGGGAGAAAAATCAAACTGCCTTACATACTACTGCAAAAAAATACCCACAAAGCTTACATACATACACACACACACGCACACACACCCTGTACCTTTCTTTTGGCACAGTGAATATTATAGAAAGAAATCCTTCAAGTCTTAATTCAAATAGGTTCCTTACTGAGTAATGTATATAGAAGTCCACAAAAAATTAAAATGTTCTTTCAAAAGGAACAAAAATATACAACTGTACACAAAAAGTCTTGAATTTTATTGAAATTTCAAGTCTTGTATCAAACAAAAACTGCTTTCTTCCAACAAAAATATTTCCTTGCTGTCTCCTGATACCAGTTACTCTAAATTGGTCCTTTAGTGCCTCAGCTTTTCTTTATCATCTGCTTAAGAAATTCACACTGCTGGGATGTTCCAGGTCTCACTTTTATCGTGTGAAGGAACGGACATGACGACCCCTTCCGCTGCCTCCACTAACAAACTTTCCTCTTGAGCCACCACTGCTGCTACTATTAGCACTCGTCCAAGATGGCCCAATTCCACCACGACCTCTAGAAGCACGATCACGGGGACTGGGTCGATAGCCTAGAAACAAAGAAAAAGCAAGTATAGTACTGGCATCTAAAAAGGTATAAGTATGGCTATAAACCCCATTGTGTTAGGGACAACAACTGAAGACGGGGACTGTCATTTCTCTTATTTTCACTTATTAGTCAACCATTGTTTTGCTTTAACTAGGTTACAATTACCATAGTGGTATTAAAACAAAAGCTACACAAATGCAAAATTCAGATACCAAGATTAAGATTTCAATTGAGCAAATACTGTAATTTTATATATTACATTTAGTGAAAGTATTTATTAGGCCATGAGTCATATATATTTTAAAAATGCACTGTGTTTCAATGGCTTAATTTGTAAAGAGGAAATAATGCAGGACCTTCCAGCCGTCTGAGGACCATTTCAGTGTATTACAAAAATCAAACCATATATACCTGCAGAACTCAACGGCCTCAATGGTGGCAGTGGGCCCCTGTTAAAATTGCTCTGACCCCCTCTACTTTCATTATAAGTGCCTCGCGGTGTACTCTGTGCACTCCAACTTGACCCTCTGGCTCCTTCACGACGACTATAATTTCCTAAATGCAAGAGACACAAAGTGGCTGAAAAAAAATGAAGATTTTTTCTGCATTTTAATCTCTGCCACATACAGGGTGAATAAAAGTTTACAATTCTTAAAATATACATATATATATTTAAGCTAGACATTTTACTTAAATTTTTAAACAGTATTGGTCTACAGAGTACTTTTACAGCTTTTTAGGCATTACAGAAAAAAATGGCACAGCAAACGCACCAAAGTGAGGTTGGGGTGTGAAAGGGGAGTTCTCTCTCTAACAATCAAACTCAGTAATAACCACTACAGGATTAAAACAAATAACTGCCCAAATTCATGGGATCTGCGATATAGTTAGATGTGTTGATCTGCTGCTACAGAAACAGGAGGTCCCTGTTAAAGTGTCAGGTTAGACTGCAAGTCTGCTGAAGCTGGGGGGTATTATTTGTCTTCTACTTCTGGAAGACAGAAGTGAGAGCCTTATGCTATGTTAGTGCATATTGCCAACAGTTTTGCAGGCAATGTGGAAGTGTAAAGGAATGCACATCTTCCCCTTTCTCTTCTCATTTTCACACTTCGAAGACTCTGAATGGATGCAACACAGTCAACTACAAACTTAACTGTCACTGGGCATTACTTTTGTTCCCAAATTTTAAAACAATTCTTTACATTTTGCAAAGGAATTTCTAGCCAGACTTGCTGAAAACTGCATATTTTCCTTTTGGGCTACTGTTTTTTCTAATTAAGACTCATCTGAACTGTGGGCTGAGGGAAGACAGAACACTTATGCTTCATTTGACCAAGTCCTATATCACTTCAGAGTGAGCCCACTGTATTTTTGTGAATATTATAATACACTCCAAATGACATTAAAAACAAGAGCACTTGACCAGAACACAAAGGTCTAGCTAAATATTTTTACAAGGATACCACCCTGACCAGAAAAGGAAAAAAAAACAACCCAATTAAACAAAGTTTTGTTTTAACTCCAGAGTAATGTAGGGACCACTTCCCTCATGAAAACAGTCTCACACAGTTTATTTCTTTTTCCCAGCTAAATCACACTGATAATATTTAACCACCATTAAGATAACTTGATTTATCTGAAGCTTTTTATGAAGTTTACAAAGAAATAATGGAATAGTATTGTTGCTGCATCTTTTACCCAAACTGGTAGTTCACGTACTCCAAATCCTAAGCAAAAAAGGCAACGTACCTTTGGAAGCAGGTGGAGTAAAGAACCTGTTCTGACTGTGAAATGCTCCGCGTCCTCCACGATTCCCTGAGAATCCCCCACGTGAAGAAATTTTCTGCGATACTTTTGGTGGCCTTTTTGGTGGTGGTATCCCATCTGGAGCAACCACTTCTTTGCTCTCTGCAGCAACAAAATCATCCACGTGCATAGAAGGAGGTCTGCTTGTATTCTGTTTTCTCTGACGAAAAATGTCGTGCGGTCGAATACCCTGTCCAAATCCTCCCCTACCTCTTCCTCGAGGAGGAGGCACAACATGTGCTCTCTTTGCAGGCTCTATGTATTCTGATTTGCCACTATTGAAGCAAAAAAAAAAAAAATTAACATGATTATTTAACCAATCAATCAGAGAATTTACTCCAGCTGAACATCAGGCATTTTCTGTAACAGTATTCAATGCAAATTGAAAAAAAGATTCCACAAAGCTGAACATACCAGGCCTGGCTCTTTGCAACAAGCTCTGCTGCTTCATTCACTACATTCATATCTACACAGTGGGAAGTAACCTTAAAAAACAACTTTTTTGCTAGTATACAAAAAAGCGAGATTATATCAAGTATCTACCAGTTCCCAGGAAAACATTTCCTCCCATCAGCAAAACACATTAATACTATGTTACGGGATCACCAGCGCTTCCTACCTTGAAGTTATGAAGGTCTCATGCTTGTGTTTTCCAAGTTTGAATCCTTTTGTAGTTTTTGTCCTACCAGGAGATGAGGGTTCTGACAAAAATGATCTCTCCAATTCTGCTTGTAAATCAAAGTCACTGCAGCCTTTCTCTGACAGTTCAATTAAGTCAACCTTTACCTGCAATAACAGAATGCAGTTCACTTTAATGAGCATAACCACTATTCCAAGAAAAGGGTAGCAGCAGGATACGACCAGCCCAACTGGGGCCCATCAAAATACTGTACTGACCCAAATCCAAGACACCCTCCAATAATTAGATTCTATACATTTAATAATGTCTAACAATTTATAAATGTGTTACAATTTTCCATGTATAGAATCTAATTATTGGAGGGTCCTTTTAAATTTGCCCCTTCCCACTGCTGCAGCAGGGAAAACAGTGGCTGGGGAAGCTAGCAAAGCAGCTTGCTCCCTCCCCACCACTTCTGACCCACTGCCCCCCTTCCCCTCACCTAAGTGGGGGAAAAAAAAACCCTGTCTTGGAATCAAGTAAATACAGTAGTAGGTGCTGTAGCAATTGCATATCTACTCCCCTGGACGTCAGTAAGGTCAATCCCTAGGCATCAAATTTTGAAAGACAGTCTATCTATCCAAGTGAACTAGCACTCAAGCAAGGCCTGTTCTGCCCAGACTGCAGTCTGAAAAATTCAGCATTGTGACATATGTATAAGAGTGAGAGGAAAAAGACTCAGCAGTTGTATATGTTAGCAGAAAGAAAGTAAAGCAAAGAAAGATGAACAGGAGTCTGATACACATTTTCCTTATAGAAACCGTTTACAAAGGATATCAGTTTTCTTTGCTGCTCTACATGTGTGTGAGGGGTGGTGATGGGGGTGTGGATGTGTTTAGAAATCTAATATTCACTTAAATACACTAATGGTTATTTTTTCCTCAATTTTAATTAAGCCTTTTACCATATCAAGCTCTGTGTCAATTTCTTCAGCCTGGAATGGTGAGAACCACAGAGACTTCAGCTGGTCATCCATCACATCTGCCAACACATATGTAGTCCTGTAATGAAGAATAGCAAATGCATTGTTGACTGAAGGCTACTAATGTAAGTGCAGTGGAGCATCACGTGACTTTGGATAACTACTGTAGCAGGACTCATTCAAAGGCCTGACTTGCTATGAAATACAAAGTGTACTTCTGGACTTGATAAAATATAAGCTTCAGCAAGCACAACTGTACAGTAATCAAGATTAGACTAACCACAATCCCTAGAAAACCAAAATGAAAATACACTTGGGCTCTAACTGCCTCATGTGAAATTAAATCTACAAGTTATATTCAGACTTTCATCTCACCTAAGAGCAAGGCAATCTGAAAGAAAGAACAGGTTTCTTTACTGAACTAGCAAAGAGAAGCTATTATGGAAAACACCCTTACTTTTAGCATTCATACTGAATTCAAAATACTACACTGATGAAATACAGGTTGTTTCCCTGAAAGAAAATCACAATAGTAAAAACAGTTAAACTTCACAGCATAACACAGAAAAATATATCCCGTCAAGAATGTACTAACCCATACACTGTTTCAAAGAAAGCACCCAGTGTCCAACATATTTATTATTTTACCTATTGTTAAACAGATTCTGGAGAGAGTCTGGTGCAGAAAGAACTGGTTCCACATCTTGGTCACTCAGCGGACAAGGATCGCCTGCTGATTCCAACATCTGCCGAAGTCCAGCGACATTGTCCAATAAGGATTCAAGGCCATCATCTTCTTTAGAACGTTCCTGTGTCAAAACCAGTCACAGAATTTAAAATACTCAATGCTGAGGACAGATGCCAGTTAAAAGAAGAAAATGCACCACAGACTATTTTTAATACTCTCAGTATGATCCATTCATATATGTATCCTAAAATGTAAACAGACCCAGCAAGGAGAAAAAACAGCAGAGGGCACCTTAATATCCTATAAAAGAACAAGGAGTCAACTCTCCAGAGTCCAAAATGCAGACAAGGTTCTTTGGGTGAATCTGATATCTTTTATTAGACCAACTTAAAAAGTTGGAAAACAATTATTAAACAAGCTTTCGGGTTCAAAAACCCTTCGTCAGGCTAAGGAAGTTTCAGCAGTTGATGTGTGCTCTTCCTGGATGGAATGAAAAGTAAAGCAGCCAGAGGCTGGGCTGGTCTGCATACAAGACAGGTAGTCTGTGAAAATGTAGACTGAGGAGTCAATGGGTGAGAGACAGGCCGGTGGGGGGGGGGGACAGGGGAAGAGAGGGCGGGGGATGAATAATGGAGAGATACCTGGGGAGTCGGATGTCAAGCAGGTTATAATGCGTCATAAATCCAATGTCTATATTTAGTCCATGATTTTTAGTATCCAGGAGGTTGATGAAGTGGAGTTCATAGGCTCTCTCTCTGGGAAGTGTTTTGTAAGTTTTCTTTGAGGATCAGGACTGAGAGCTTGGAGACAGAGTAGTTTTCTTGTGAGAAATGCGCCCCCACAGGTAACTGGGTATTCCTGTCTGATAGATTTCCAGTGTGCGTTCATTCTGGTGTGCAGCTGTTGTTTGGTCTCTCCTACGTATTCTCCATCAGGGTATTTGGTGCACTGGATGAGATATATTACATTTCTGTAGGTGCAGTTGTAAGATCCAGGAATGCTGATGGCTCTGTTGTGGGGTGTAGTAATTGTGAAGGTGGTGATGTGTTGGCAGGTTTTGGATTTCTTGTCATGGCAAGGTCTGGATCCTTTTGGTGTGTTCTGGGCTTGAGGAAGTTTGCTTCTGGTGATGAGGTTAGCAAGGTTCAGTGCTTGTTTGAAGGCTAGGATGGGTGGCTCTGGGAAGATCTTTTTAAGAATAGGGTCTCTTTCTAGTATGGGTTGCAATTGCCTGAGGATTTTCTGTAGGGGTTTGAGGGAAGGATGATATGTCATAACCAGCGGTGTGCGATTTGTGGGGGGGTTTATTCTGTACTGCAGCAGTTCTTCCCGTGGTATCTGGGTGGCTCTTTCAAATGTGCGATCTCTCTCTCTGGAGAAGTGTTCTTGTTGGGTGAAAGCCTTTTTAAGACTGGTGAGGTGGCAATCCCGGGTGTTCTCTTCAGTGCAAATTCAGTGGTATCTGAGGGCATGGCTGTATATCACAGCTTTCTTGGTGTGTTTAGCATGATTGCTGGTTCTGTGCAGATATGTATGTTGGTCTGTGGGTTTCTTGTATAACGTGGTCTGTATTTTATCATTCTGGATACTGATCATCATGTCTAAAAAGAGATGTTGGTGCTGGAGTATTCTAGAGAAAGTCGGATGGAGGGATGGTGATTGCTGAATTTCTGATGGAACTCAATCAGAGATTGTAGGTTTTCAGTCCAAATGATGATGTCATTGATATATCTTAAGTATAAATAAGGGTTTGATGGTGCAGTTCTTGAGGAAGTCTTTTTCTAGGTGGCTCATAAAAAGGTTGGCATACTGTGGGGCCATTCTGGTGCACATAGCTGTTCCCATCATCTGGAGGAAGTGTTGATTATTAAAAGTGAAATTGTTGTGTGTGAGGATGAAGTGTATAAGGTCAGTAATATCTTTAGGTCTGTATTCTGAGTTGTCAACTTGTTCCTATAGATATGTAAGACAGGCTTGGATGCCGTCCTGGTGTGGGACGTTGGTATATAGGCTGGTAATATCCATGGTGGCTAGGAGGGTGTTGCTGAGAAGGTGGTCTGTTTTTAAGTTTCTGTAAAAAGTCTGTAGTGTCTTGTACAAAACTTACTCTGTGGGTGACTATGGACTAAATATAGACATTGGATTTATGACGCATTATAACCTGCCTGACATCCGACTCCCTAGGTATCTCTCCATTATTCATCCCCCTTCTCTCTCCCCACCCCACTCCACCTGTCTCTCACCCATTGACTCCTCAAATCTACAATTTCACTGACTACCTGTCTTGTATGCAGACCAGACCAGCCTTTGGCTTCTTTACTTTTCATTCCATCCAGGAAGAACACACACCAACTGCTGAAACTTCCTTAGCCTGACAAAGGGTTTTTGAACCTGAAAGCTTACTTGATAATTGTTTTCCAACTTTTTAAGTTGGTCTAATAAAAGATATCATATTCACCCAAAGAACCTTGTCTGCCTATGTCCTTAGACCAGCACAGCTACAACCTACACCCCTGTAATAGAGTCCAAAATGTCATTTATCATCCGCTGATTTGACAGTGGACATGGAATTGGTGATCTGGACCCACTGTTGACTACATTAACAATCTAATTGCTCTAGTTTATTTCCTGTTCTTTCTACGCATCTGTTGTCTCTTTTCTTATTTTGCTGTCTAAGCTCAAGAGAAAGGACACCCTCAAATATGTGGGAACAGGGTTTCAATCTCACAGAGGTCTCTCAGCATAATAAGCCACCAGTAAACACAGTACATAACTAGCTAAGCCAACATACACCATTCATATCAACCCTTGCCATTAATTATCATCAGCTTGCACATAAAAAGCAGAACTCTCACTGTATACTTTTAAGGCTAAGAATAAGCTAAGAAAGCAACAAGGACTTTATTATTCAAAATCCTCTTACCAAAACATGTTTCTCCAGTTCAAGCAGAAAATTTTCAGGGCTTTCCTCTTTATTCTGTAACAGATGTTTTAATTCTGCAGTAGTCAGACCCAATGTCCTTGCTGGATGAGATCCATCTACCTCCATAAGACTTCCATCATCTCCACAACAGCCCTGAAAAAAACATGTCAAGTTTTTCAAAACTGAAATTAAGGATTGTAAAAGTGCTGCAAAATCTGTAGCATTTAGATACACTTTAAAGCAGAGCACCACAAAAGACGAGAATGCAATGGAGTTTTGTGGCTATCTAGTGAAACATCTACCTCCTCCCAGACACAGGCATACAAAAAGAAACAAAAATACTTGCAACACACACCAACATCTACGAGGAAAGGGGATTTTTTAACTCCATGTTTATGACTTTAAAATAAAAGATGTGCACAAAACACACCCTTTAGTAAAAGAAAATCAAAAGGACATGTTTAGATTCTCCCTCAAAGGGATTCCCTTGGAAATTACTGAAAACAGTTTATTGAATATTAATAATATTTTAGGTTGCTACTTATCGCTAATTTTAGATCGTTTTTTAACGGAAATCACCAATTTCAGAAACACCCACAGCGGGTCTTTGTTATAACACTCAAATCTGAAGCTAGAACCCAATAATTATGCTGACCATTTTACAAACTAACTTTTAAAGGAGGGCAGCCTAAGTAATCTGTAAAAAATATCTTAAACATGCACTTACAATTAACAATGCAACATCTTTTTAAGAAACAGAAAAGGCTACTGAAAATTTATCTTTTCCCCAAGCATATATTTATTTATTTATCCTCTTCCCCATTATAGCTCCTGTCTCAAGTTAACTGAATAATTAAATGTATAAATACCACTCAAAGTACTTAGAAATTACTTTAACAGGGCATGATAAGAAATATACACAAGCTTTCTTTCCCGATTTGGAAATTAATGTAAAAAAGGAACACCACACTAAGAATGGAACTGAAGGGAAAGACGTGAGCCAGAGTTCCAAATGAGAACTGTATGCACAATCAAACCTGTTTTAATATTGAGGTTGAATTCAATATAAATTTTTTGAAAGCTAGATGACTGCATTATACCCCTTACAGAATACAGTGGTAATTACTTTGCTGGAAAAAAGTTTGCTCCTCATTTACAGACATTTTGGCAAAATACACTGAATTGTATTAACCAATAAAGAAGGCACTTAATTAACAGTGACAAAATGTTATAGCCAGAACTGCACATTCCAGTGATTTCAGAGCTAATAGCTATATTTATTTTATGTCAGCTCTCTACTGCAACAGAATCAGTACTTAACCAGCTGAAAAACATTTAATACATATTCACTTACCAGGGTGTCAGAGTTTAGAATCTGTCTCATAAAATCCAAAAACGAGGATGCCAGTTCTCCTGTGTCCTTACTAAAGCTGCTTACTACTCGCTTCAATACAGTGTACAGTGCACCATTGTGTTTTCTTAGAGAGCTATTACCACAAGAGAGGGAGAGAAGAGGGGACACACCCAGTGTTAATACCCCACCTTGTGATCACAGCATTGTATTGCTTCATAAAGAGAAAAAAAAAAAAAAAAAAAAAAA